TCGGGCAGTGTTTCGTTCTGCTGTGCATGGGGTCGCTATGAGTCGGAAACGACTCGATGGCACTTAACAACAACAACAACACTCACAGGGTTCTAATTTCTTTATCCAAAATGGAGGATCGGGACTTACATGCTTTTCAATTTCTTTTAGGGAGCACAAATTCTACAGAGTCACCATAGAATGAATTTATTTCTGTGGCGAATGTAATGAGTACCCATTATAAATGAAAGTACTGCTTTGGGGTTGCAAGTATGTGGTTCAACTATGCTTGAAAGGAATGATATTCCAAGATCATCAAGTTTTAGAGGACTCAGGCATTTCTCTATCAGAAGATAAACAATGCCTCAACAGTCTAGAAAGTCCTCCAAGGCTTGCTGTGTGTGATATGTTACCAAGCCTGCTCTCAACGTCTCTATCTAATAATAGATCTTTTTTTTTTTTTTTTTTTTTTGAGGATATATATATATTTAAAAAAACCCCTGAAAGACAAGAGTTTTTCCTTATACTAAAATAAAATGTCTTCCACATTTTATGTGTTGGCCTTGGTCCAAATTAAATAATCTGGTAAAGTCATTAAAGGAATTTAAGATTTTAAGTACTGTTCCTCATTGTTCCTCCTCTCTGAGTAAGTTTTACCACCTAACAGATCTTATTTTTAAAATTTTTTTGGGTACAAATACTGTTGGCTAATTTATAATTTTGTTGCTGCAAGTTCTATCCAATGTCCTATTTTTCCCTGTCTACCTCAACTTTTTCCTGGCTCTTGAATCTTGAATGAGGATTTGGTAATTCATCAATTATTGCCATCTTTCTTGATCTTAGAATGCTCTAGGAGCATAAAAAGGATATTTTATCTTTAAACATTTGTGATTTATCTTTTGTATGTTACAATTTGCAGAAAACACAGGGTTGGAGTTCAAACATGAAATATAATCCCCCTCAATAGAGGTGATTTCTTGTTCATAGACGCAGAAATAGACTTGACGAGAAACAGAATTATTCTCATCAAACTTAGGAATTATAGTTTAACATTTTAGCAATTACCTGCACATGAATACACTTCATTCATGTCTTTCAAGTCATAATGGTATAATTAATGATAAACCGTTGTACTCAGAATGGGTGGAATTTCTTTCATTTTATCTTAATTGCATTCTAGTATTTTTTTTTTTTTTTCTTTCCTTCAGGTATGTGGTATCATAATCCTGGGAATAGCAATATTGATACGAGTAAACCAAGATGGTCAACAGGTAAATATGTAAATAAGTAAAAAGCCTCCTCACCCCTAAAGTGGTTTATTCCTTTTGTAGTGATGAAAGCAAAAATAATCACAAACATTTCAATAACAGGATTTTCCTTAACTGCCTCATGTAATCGTGCTGATAGGTAACTTCATAATTCAATTTAATTCATCAAAATTACTTTCTAGCTTCCAGCACTCTGCTAGCCATGGAACAATCTTTCTGGAGATTGGATAAGGGCAAAATAAAAAAAAAACAAATCAAACTCACTGCCATCAAGTCGATTCCAACTCATAGTGACCCTATAGGGCAGAATAGAATTGCTTCATAGAGTTTCTGAAGCTGTAACTCTTTACAGAAGCAGAGTGCCTCATCTTTCTCCCATGGAGTGACTGACTAGTGGGTTCAAACTGTTGACTTTTTTTTAGCAACCAAAGATTTTAACCACTGTGCCACTTGATCCCCCAAAATAGAAGATTGCAATGAAAAGTAGAAGTGGAAAGGGTCCAAAATGGAAATCTGTCTTTTTCACTATTTGGTTGAGGCAGGATCATGTACAGTTTGAGGAAATAGACCAACATATCTCTCCTCAAAAAGATCAATTTTGTAGTACAACAATATATTGATAATAATTTGATTGATCCTAAGATGGGACTGTAAAAAAGAAGAGAAAAATAAGAAGTACTCTTGAAGAAGAAGAGTTTGAATCTGTGTTTTAAAGACAACCAACTACAAGGAAAGTTTGGACTGAAGGTGGTCACTTACCATAAGTAGCATGTTAGTGTAACTCAGAAGTCAGGTAGGAATATGTAACCTTTTGCTATCTAGATAAGATTATCATACCCCCACCACTACCACCTCAACACACCATTTCATGTCCATTTCAAATTTAGTTCATACGGTTAACTCTACCTTGAGACTTTGGATTCTACATATGTTATTTCTATTCCACAGTATCAGAAATATGGAAAGAATGAGGTTAGGGCATGGGTGGATTGTTCTGTCAATTTCATAAGGCCATTCTGTCTTTTTTGCCTTCCCTACTTCCACTCTTTCTCTCCCCTCTTCCTTTCACGAACACTCACTCCAAATTGTTATTCTTATTCATGCAGAGTAGTTTACTCGTTCCTCGTTGTCTGGGCTCTTGCCACCATTCAGAATTTTATCTTTTATCACTGTAGCTTTCTCAAGGTATTTGCCTAAATGAAGAGTTTCCCTCCAAAGAGGAATTTTGATGCTAGATATTAAGATACTGCATTTTCCATTAAAATTTATAACATGGTACAACTAAATATCTTTGGACACAGCCTAGTTGAAAGAACCATTAAGCCATTAAACGCAAATCAACATCTGTTCTGATTCCTTTGCTAGAATGGGAAACTTTTCTAGATGCTTCTTCTTCTCCCTTCCCTCCTTCTTTATTCTCTCCTTCCTTCTATCTCTTTCTTTTTTTTTCTCTTTCTTTCTTTCTCTTTCTTTTCTCTCATACTTTCTACCCCTAGAAAACCCAGAGAATCACAGTGACAATTAGCTGCTTCCTCATTCTCTATCTCTTGTGGGGAAAAAATTGGGTGAGGGATAAATATGGCAACTATTTGGCAACCTTCCAGTCCATCAGGATTTCATCTGTTGTTTTATACCAATAAATGTAACTGACTTCCTGATGACCTTGGGCTCTGGGGTTTGACTCTGACAAGGTTATTTGAAGGTGTGCAAAGTCTCCATCATCTAGAATCTGATCCAGGCCTCATAATTGAGTGCAGAGATTAGCTGCCACCTACAAGGGACATACTTTAGCCTTTTCAAGATGTGCATGCAGCCTGTATTTTATTTTATTTCTGGTTGATATGGGAACATTTTCTTTCCCTCCAGTGCTTCTGGTAAACAAATTTGGTGTTTAGTCTGTTAAGAAATTACACACATTGAATGTATTAAAGGAGAACCATTGTCCCTGAGAAGGTGTTACTTGACATCTGGGGATAAGAATGAATTAATAAAGCTATAAAGCTAGACAGCATCTTTAGTTACTTTTTGACTCTTGTGCTCTGTCAGCCTCCCACCCTGAGCAAAGAAAGCCCGTATCTGCCAGGGTATTAACCAATTTGACTTACGTGAAATTGATTTGATTTTTATTTACCGCTTTGGCAGCATAGTGCCTAAGGCACTTGACTGCAACCAGAAGGCTGGGGGTTCAAACCCACCAGCCATTCCTTGGAAGGAAGGTTGGGCAATCTACTTCCGTAGTGATACTGCCTCGGCAATCCAAGGAGGGGTCGCTATGAGTTGGGTCCGACTCGATGGCACATAACAACAACAACAAAAGTCAATGACAAAGAGTCAATGCTGTGCAAAGAGCTGAATTTTACTGGGGAAAAAACAGAGGTAGCAGTTGTAGAAGGAAAAAGATAGACATAAAGTCAGAGAAGGACATGGGGGAGATGACATCTCTCTTTACTAGTGTCTTATAGGCACACTCTTGTTTTTTCTCAGGATAAACTCAGCACCATGAGGCAAAGTGTACGGGCAGCTGTTCTTATCGCAGGAGACCAGAGAGGATCCCTAACCACTGATTCTTAGGTCCACCCATTTCTTCTTTAGACATTCTTATCTTCTCTTGTGACTCACACAGACAGTGTTCATCCAAGGCAGCTTTTCAAATCCTGCTGTCCCACATCTGCATTCAGACTTCCAGCAAGAATAACCACTTGCTGGGCTTTACTTGGAACAGTGACCTCCAGGAGGTCCACACAGTATGTTCTGGACAGTCTGGTAGTAGAGTCATTCTACCCAGAGTGGGCTCACATATTTGGACCTCAATTGCAGATACTTCTGGGTCTGGTCTAGCTTAACTCAGTTCTGATGACTCATCCTGTTAAGCTTCAGCTCTCAGAAGCTGAAGGCTCTGCCCATACTGGCCTCAGTATTCTAGGATATTCTATTTGGTGCTAAGTCCAAAGATCTATATTTTTTAGTGTTGCATTTTTATCAACATCTATTTTGACCCAGGCTATAGAGCACTATGAAGGAGTTCTGGTGGCACTGTGGTTAAGACATTGGGCTGCTAACCAAAAGGTAGGTGGTTCAAACCCACCAGCTGCTCCACGGGAGGAAGATGAGACAATACACTTCTGTAAAGATTTACAGCCTTGGAAACCCAATAGGTGTTGCTATGATTCAGAATTGACTCCATGGCAGCGGGGAATAGGGCACTATGAGTCAGAATCGACTTGACAAAATGAGTTATTATTATTATTATTATTATTTTCGTTGGTCATGCCTGTTTATTAACAATTCTGATTTTCTCTCTCCAATCTTAACAAACAAACAGCACTTCCTCAAAAAACAAACATATAAACAAAAAACCTTTAAGACATAAACAAGCTTTCTAAATATATAAAATTAAATATTTGTAAGCGTAGACTTTTAGAGGCAAAAGAACCCTTAGATGTCATAGGAAAGGAGCTCTGGTGGCACAGTGCCTAATGCAAACTGCTAACCAGAAGGTTGGGGTTCAAACCTCCCAGCTGCTCCATGGGAGGAAAACGGCACAATCTACTTCCATAAAGATTTACAGCCTCAGAAACCCTATGGACATCACTATGAGTCAGAATCAACTCAATGGCAGTGAGTTTGGTTTTTGGTTTGTTTAGATATCATAGAGAATGACCTAGTTCTCTTTTATAAATGGAAAACTGGGGCCCAGCAGAGTTAGTTGACTATCCCAAGGTTACTAACTTAGTTATATATCATGGCCCTGACTGGAATATAGAGCTTCATTTTAATGCTTTTGCAACTTCAGCATGTTGCTTCCTACTGATTGTTGAATAAAGGTTTCCTCCAGGTTATAAGCTGATTTCCAAAGTTCTTAAAAACAAAATTATGATTAATAGCAGCAGCAGGCATTTCGTATTGCCATTAAGGGGGCTAACCTCTATGCTATAGTGCAGATTCTAGGAGGCAGTGACTCTGAGTTAGTCTGGGAACTAGTGTTCTACCTAAAAATAGGCCAGTAGATAGAGTATACAAGGTAGATGGGCTATGCATATCATTCACATACAACACAAGCATAAGATTTCACTTTTGAATTGTGATTTACTTGTGGATATATATGGTAGATAAGTAGTGGACTGGGACAAGGTGCTGTGAGGGTGATGAAGGGGAAGAATTGATTATGCAAGATGTGTAGTGCAACATACCATAAAGGGCCTGAGGATTTTGCCCTCAGTATCTCCTTGATATTCCAGGCAAAATAAAAACTTATGGAAGACTCTATGAACTATACCTTTTGGGAGTGAGGAATTAGAGTTCCATGTCAGCAACTGGACTTTCTTTTTCTTCTTAGTTTGAATTTCTTTTGATTGTTTTGACAAATAAATAGATCTGTGTGATCACTATCACAGTCAAAATAGAAAGGATTTTCATCAACTCATAGTTTCCTCTCCTCCCTTTCCAGTCAGCTCCTGCTTTCCCACCTGTTGTTTTTGTTAAGTCAAGCACTACTCTGATTTCTATCACCATAAATTAGTTTTGCCTGTTTTTGAACTTCATATAAATGAAATCATAGAGTATTTACTGTTATGTGTCTGGTTTCTTTATAATGTTTTTGAGATTCATTCATGTTGTGCTTATCAGGAGGAACTTGGGCTTTTTAATTTAAAGAATTAAATTATAAATACACATGCTTTTTAGTGCTACTTTTAATATAAAACATAGGAGTCCCTGGGTGGCCCAAATAGCTAAGTGCTGGACTACCAGCCAATAGGTTGATGGATCAAACCTACCAAGAGGCACTGCAGAAGAAAGACCTGGCAATCTGCTTCCCCTATGGTGTGCATTTCTATTCTGCACACGTGCAGTCAATGAGTCAGAATTAACTCAATGGCAATTAACCATACAACAAACATGTATATATATATATATATATATATATATATATATATATATAATAAAATACATAAACCAACGATCATATCAAGAAGAGTAAAAGTATGTAAAAGTATCTGTCCTTTAAGGTTTTTTTTTTTTTTTTTAAATAATTGATGTTTTAAAAGCCCATTACATTATTTCCATCCAACTTCTAACACATCATTTTAGAAAAATAAAGAGTTAGAAACATTGTTCAGGCAAGTAACACCTCGTTAGAATGTAAGCCCCATGAAGGTAAGAATTTTTGATTGTTTAGGTCACTGAAGTATCTCAAGGTCTAGAACTATCTCAAGAGCCTGGAATGTAACAGGTCCTCAATGACCATTGTTGAATGAGCAAGATAAACTTCAAAGAAAGAGATTTCTTGTCATTAATTTGTTTTCTTTTCAGATTATCAACCATAAAGATGTTCACACTTACTTCAATGTTCCTGCGAATATCTTGATTACTGTGGGTTCCATCATCATGATTCTGGGTTTCCTAGGATGCTGTGGTGCCATAAAAGAAAGCCGCTTCATGCTCATTCTGGTAAGTTCTCTAGAGAAATTCTAATACCCAGCCTTCCGATTTCCGAGGCTTCCCTCCCATCGCCGTTGTCTGTCAAAAGAACTGCCATTTTTAATTTATTGTGGAAATATTAACTTTTGCTTATAGGATTTCATCATGGAAGTTGCTAAACTTGGCTCAGAATGGAGGATACCCTGGAAGCAGATAGATTTTAATCATTCATTCAACATTACTAAGTAATCTGCTATATGCCAGATTCTGGGCTAAGGGATTCATAAGACCTTAAGACAATTAGAATCCACTAGGGAAGATTGAAAAGATTCTTGGTAGCACAACAGTTAAGCACTTGGCTACTTACTGAAATTTTGGCAGTTCAAATCCACCCAGTGGCTCTATGGAAGAAAGACCAGGTGGTCTACGTCTGTAAAGATTACAGCCCCCAAAACCCCATGGGACAGTTCTACTCTGACACATGGGATTGGTAGTTGAAAAATGACTGAAAGGTACACAACAACAACAAGCATGATGATGATTGACAAGTAAACGAATAGCTACAATAGGATAGCCCAACAAAAGAATAAAAATAGAGAAGTGGACAGTTAAGCCTGGGGAAGAAGTAAAAAGAAAGTGTGTGTGTGAGGTTGAGATGAGCTCTCCAGGAAGAACTTGGGTCAGTACAATGTTGGCATGTCTGGGTAACTGCAAGGGCTTGAGTGTGGCTGGAGAACGCTGGAGGCTATTCACCAGTGTATGATGGGAGATATGTCTGAGTGTGGACCACTCACTCCACATTTTATGGACAAATCATAAAGTGTCTACATGCTGTACTAAGAAAATTGTAAGGGAGTTAGATAATCAGGTTTGTCACTTAGCTTTGTGGATGATAGATTGGATTAGGCTAATCCACAGGCATCATTTTTAACATGCAGTAGAAAGTGATAAATGGATATAGTAAGAACTACAGAAAAAATCATGTATTTACTAGATATAAATCTTACACAAGATTTCATTAGAACTAATATAAAATAGTTTTCTCTAATAAAATAAATACTGTTCCAGTACCTGAAAAAAAAAAAAAAATAGTGGTTTATTATGAGGGAAGGTAAAAACAATTTTACTGGACTCTAACAACATTCCTCATTTTATTTATTTATTTATTAAGGCCTCAATTTCAGTTTGGAAATTTAATTACTTGAGGATGTTGTTTTTAAAAAAATTGTAGATTGGATCCTTCAAAATTATGATTCAGTAGATCTGAGGCAAGTTCTAAGTTCTAGTTTCATTACAAGACCCCAGGTGATTCTGATTGTGGTTGATTGCTTTGGCATTAGTTCTGAATTTGTGTGTGTTTGTGTTTGGGAGAAAAATAAGATCCAAATAATTTAATCTAAATTTCAAACTTTCCTTATTTCATATAGACCATGCTAATAACATTATCAAAAAACTTTTGTTTTAATCTCTTTCCTTGACCAGACTTTGGAGCAAATGTTTCTGAGGAGTAATTACCCCAAACCTGTAACTTAAGGCTACATGATGTGACTATGGTTGGAAAGAGAGAGAGATGGTCATGTTGAAATACCCCAGGATGTTACTGAATACACAGGCAGTAATACATATTCCTTTTTTTTCTTTCCTTAGTTTTTCATAGGATTGCTTTTTATCCTGCTCCTGCAGGTGGCAGCAGGTGTTGTAGGATCTGTTTTAAAATCAAAGGTGTGTACCATATGATATTTAATAATTTTGGAAAATTCTGAAAAATTGAATTACTACCTCTGGCATGAATACTTAAAAATGATTTTTGATTTTCAGTTTGACTACGTTCTGAATGATATACTCTCTGAAAACGTAGCACTTTTGACTGGAACAACTGATACTGCAGTGGAATTCCAGATAGCCTTAACTAAGTGGGAGGAAAAGGTAAAGAAAATTTATAGGTCATTTGGGAAGTCGGGTATAGTTCTTCTGTGTATATCATTTAAAGATTGAAAAATGTCTTCATTTTGCAGATTTGTATTGTGACACCATGGAATAAAAACAAATCTAACAATAAGTAAAATATTTTTCTAACTTGATATGTGTTCTGAAACAGTTTAAATGGAAATTAATTAAGAAAGATATGTTTCTGAGATTAAGATTAAGCCTCAATTGGTCAATTTGATAATTATTTTAATATTTGCTCTTTATAAGCACTGTGTTTGGGGAGTTTGAAGAATCTTTCTCTCTTTTTCTGCTCCTCCTCCCTCATACAAATAATTATGGCTAAAATTTATTGCCAGTTACTATGTTCCAGACTTTACATACAGCAACTCACTTATACCTTACAACAACCTAGGAGATGGTAATATTATCCCTATTTTACACATGAAAGGCCCTGGGTGGTGCAAAAATCATTAATGTCACTGTTAGGTAGGTAGAGACAAGTACTGATTTGGGTGAAGAGAAGGGCAGTGTACCAAATGTGAGTGATCAACATGGTGGCATTGAGGAAGAGGAAGACATAGAGAGGTACATGGGACGTACAGACAACAAATATGAACCCTTTTGCACATACACTACTGCATTGTCAATGAAGGCAAACATGGATGTAAGGGTAGATAGATGGGTGGATGGGCTGAACTAATAGGTGTGTCTATGCAGGGAGGAGTATGCCCAAGACCATGTATAGGGTTGGCAGACAATGTTTCTGCAAGTGTATTGGTATGTTCTATAAGAATTTCCAGGTATAGAGACTTCTGGTAAAATGGAGGAACAGGCAGACAAGCAACACAGACCCTCTTCAACAAAGAAAAGAAAAAACAATTGACAGAGATACAGAAGATAACCTGGAACCCTGAGTTTTGAAAGGAACTATACAGAAGTGGATTAGGCACCAACTACTGGAAAAACCTGAATGAAAACAGTGAGTACAGAGATGGTTGGAGCTGCAGACTGTCTGCTACTCTGACAAGACCAACAGCCTAAATATTTCCAAGTGGTGTTGGGACCTGAGAATTGACCTAAAGATCAGCCCCAGTCACCAATGGCTGCAAAGACAACTGCTCTGGTGGCCTATGACTAGGAAGGAGAACAGCAAGGAGGGAGACAATCTGAGCTGTGGACTTTCTGCTGTTCACAGGGCACAGCCATTTTGATCATTTACACTTGGTAGCCATTTTGAATATTTAAAGTAACCAAGGGCGCAACCATTTTGAATGTTTACAAGTGGTGGCCATTTTGGATATTTAAAGTGACCGTGGGCACAGCCATTTTGAATGTTTACAAGTGGCAACCATTTTGGATTTTAAAGTGATAGCATTCTCATTTGGATTCCAGGGACCTAAGAACAGGCTCTGTTTGCCAGGGTCAGCAAGGACATATGAGAGGCTGACAGCAGGAAAGGAGACAGGTGGTGACTGTATAAGTGCTGCCAACTAGTGAATAGAGGAGCACAGCACAGTACCCTGCCTGTATAGATAACATATAAAGAAAACAAAAATTGTGGGCAAGTCACCCCAACATACCATCACCAATTAAATATAAACGCAAAAACATCACAATACCTCGGAGACAACAGAGTATCACAGGCTACACAAAGAAGCAAGATAAAGCAGGAGAAAAAAGGGACCAGAATATAGACCCAAAACACATCCCTGAGGAAAACACAAATTGGAACTCCCTGATAAGGAATTCAAAAAAATTATATTTAATCTTATTTTTTAAAAAATCTTTATTTATTTATTTAATATTAATGATAATATTAATATATTTAATTTAATATAATTTGATTATTACATTATAAAATTATTTAATTTAATATTATTAACGATTATTTTATATTAATAATGTTAATAATAATATTATTTTATAATAATAATGTATTTAATAAATATAGATTATTTATTGAATCTATATTTTAATCTAAAAATTATATTTAAAATATATTAATCTTCAAAGGATTGAGAGACAGACCAAGGAAAACACAGACAAAACCCTAGAAGAATTTTGGAAGAAAATACAAGAACAAAATGACAAAATAAATGAAATCTACAGATAGAAATCCAGAAGATTAATACTAAATTGTCAGAAATAGATAACACGTTGAAAGGGCAAAGGAGTAGAATTGCCACAGTGGAAGACAGAATTAATGAGATTGAAGACAAATACCTGAATACTTCTTTGGAAAGGAATCAATCAGAAAAAAGATCAAAACAAAATTAAGAAAGCCTAAGGTTTATGTGGGATACCATCAAAAGGAATAACCTATGTGCCACTGGAATTCCAGAACAGGAAGAGAAAAATGAAACCACTGAGAAAATTGTCCAAGATCTGTTGGAGGAGAACTTCCCTGATATGATTAAAGATGAGAATATATCCATTCATGAAGTCCAATGAACCCCAAACAGGATAGACCTCAAAGGAAAAACACCAAGACATATCATCATCAAACTCACCAAAACCAAAGACAAAGAAAGAATCATGAGAGCAGCACAGAAAAAATGAAAAGTTACCTACAAGGGGCAACCAATAAGACTAAGCTCGGATTTCTTGACAGAAACCATGCAGGCGAGAAGATGGTGGGATGTCAAAACTGTCCCTCAAATATGATGTTGAAATTAGGACATTTCCAGATAAGCAGAAATTAAGGGAATTGTTAAAACCAGACCAACCTTATAAGAAATGCTAAAGGGAGTCCTTTGGACAGAGAAGCAACAACAGCCAATAACAACTGACCATTAACACACATGATGATATAACCCAGAAACCAACCCAGCTATGGAATTATCCAAAGTAAATAAGCCTACAAGATTGTCAACAGGAAACCAGAAACACCAACTGACAAATGAGGACTACTACAAACCAAAAAGAGGGAAAAAAATCTGTGTCATTATAGAACTTGTAGATGGTAGGGAAGTCAAGACAACTACAAGATAGAATGGACTGTTCTATACTTGGGAAGAAAACTATATATCACAAGGTAACTTCAAAGAAAAATGATAAACCTTCACATCCAAATAAAAAGGAGGACCAGCATAAATATTCAGGAAATACTAAAATAGTAGCAATGAAGGAAGTGATAACATGATTCATACACAAAATGAGCTCAGCACAGGAAATTATATGGAACAAAGAAATCAACACAATGAAAAATCACATGACAAAAATGACAGTAACAAATTCATATTTGCTGATAACTACATATCTGGCAAGGGACTTATCTCTAAGATTGATGGAAAACTCCAATGCCTCAATACCAAAGGAAGTAACAATCCAGTTGAAAAATGGGCAGAAAACATGAAAAGACACTTCACCAAGGAGGATATTCAGGTGGTCAGCTAATACATGAAAAGATGTATTACATGAAAAGACAATCATTGGTCATCAGAGAGATGTAAATCAAAACAACAATGAGATACCATCTCACCCCGGCACTGATGGCAAGGTTCAATGAGACAGAAAATAACAAATGCTGGTGGGGATGTGGAGAGATTGGGCCTCTCATACACTGTTTGTATGACTGTGAAGTGACAAACCACTGTGGAAAGCAATATGACTATTCCTTAGAAAGTTGAAATTGGAGATACCATTTGACCCAGCAATCCCATTACTAGGTATATATCCTGGAGAGATGAGAGCCAGGATAGGAACAGATACACCCACGCTCATGTTCATCACAGCACTATTTACAATAGCAAAAAGATGGAAACAACCTACATGCCCATTAGAAGAGTGGATGACCAAACTATGGTACATACACATACTAGAATGCTATACAGCACTAAAGAATAATGTAGAGTCTGCA